CGCCCACGAGGAGGGCTCCTGCTCAAGGTCCCGTGCCTGCACTCGAGTGACCCTCTCAGTGTTGTCCCGTGTGCCTCACCTGCTTCACCCCAGACCCTGCGTCACATGGGGACCCTGTCTTCCTGACTCCATGGCTGTACTGCTCCCAGTGTGGGGGATCCCCTCTCTTTCCTTGCCTCGCTGCTGGCTCCTGAGGCTTTGGTCTCCTTTGGTCCTTAGGCCAGCTCCACGACATCCCCGGGTTTCTCTCCAGCCCAGGGTCATCGCTTTGCGCACGAGGGAACCACCGTGCAGTGGGTGGCCGGGCTCTCCCGTGGCCCTAAAAGGCCGCAGAGAGGATGCCAGCACCTTCTTCTCACTTTCCGTCCTGGGCCTTCTTTCCTAGAGACCTCTTCCCTTCTGCCCCTACTCTGCCTCCGTAGGTGGCCCCTGGCTGCTTCCTGGGCCCCCCCAACTCCGACTCTGGTCGGAGATCTGCTGAGGCTTCCCCCTCCGCAGCAGGGAGAACTTCATCTGCCCCGGAGCGCAGCCGGTACCCAGTGGCCTTAGTTCGAGCTCCTGGACGTTCCCTCCGTTTCCTCGTCTGTCAGTTGGACGTCAGCCCTCCCTGCTTCCCGAGACTTATGGCAGATTGAATGGACAGACAGAGCTTGGGAAGATACTGGGTGTTTTGCAGCTGTTACAGGCTGTGCAAGCTTATCTCCTCTGGGGGCCTCGGAGCCCCCCCGCCAGCGCCAGCCCGTGGCTCACCAGACGGGCCAGGGCTCTTCAGTGGGGAGCTGGGATGGCCGTTCAGTTCCAACTCCAGCCTCTTTCACTTCTTTTCTTCTCGGATGGAGGTTGCGATTTGAGCCCACTCTCCTGCCCCCCTCAATCCCCGTCAGCCACTCTTCTGTCGCTTTGTCACACCACCTCCTCCTCTTTGGGGCCCCTGGCTCCTCTGGGTTCAACGGTATCATTTCCATCCTCACAGCCTGGAGTTGCCGCCTGGCCTCCCCCCTCTGGGTCTGGTTCCAGCGGGTACCCCTCAGGGGGCCGGGGTGGGCTGTGGGAGCTCTGGTCACCCCTCTGCTGAGCTCTGTGATGGGAAGGCAGGCTGGTGTCCCCCTGCTGGTGGGTTGCCTGCGGGTCTGTAGCTGGACGTGGGTTCTGGCCAGGTCCTGGAAGAACGTGGGGTGGGGCCTCTGCGTTGTCGTTGGATCTTAGCCCAGGAGCGGAAAGTGGAGGGTAAGGGCACTGGGCAGATGAGAGAGAGAGAGAGAGAGAGAGAGAGAGAGAGAGAGAGAGAGAGAGGAGCGAGAGAGCGAGCAAGGACCTTCTGGTTCCAGCTCCATCCTGACTTGTTGGGTGAGCTTGGTCTTCCTGTTCCGGGCCCTGACTCACTGCCCTCACACCGTGATGGAGAGTCAGAGGAGCTGATGCCCAGGAGGCCTGGGCGCTGAGCTCCGATACTGCCCCAAGCAGGGTCTGGGGTCCGCACCCCTTTGCCCCCTCCACACACTCTATTGCCTGCCTAGGAGGCAGGAGAGTGGTGCAGCGCCCCCCTCAGCGGGCCCCTGGGTGCCTGCTAACGGGTCATCCTGTTGCCCTTGGGGATTCCCTTCCAGTTCTGTCATCCTGGGAATGAGTCCCCTTTTCAGGAAAGGTTCTAGAAAGCACACTGACAGGAGAGTTCCTGTCTGCCCGGCAGTCGTCCTGGAATTGCCGCTGACCATCTGGGCATGAGGTCAGCGGGACGTGGAAATTCCCTGTTTCTGTTTTTGTGTTTCTTCCCCCCAGAAGTCCAGGCCCTCCCGCTGATGGCTTCCCTGAGCTCCAGAGGGTTTTCTCCCATCAGGCTGTTCTGTGTGGGCTCTGTTGGCCTACTGCCTGGCAGCCTGTTCTCTTATCCTACCCCAAGCTCTGCCTGCCAGGCCTAGGGTCGGGGACAGTGGCCCTGCTTGCTCCTTCCTTGGCTTCCCGGGCCCCCTTCCATGTCACTTTCCCAGTGCTGAGGAAGAACCCGAACATCATACAGTTTAGAGGACACGGAGGTGGGATTTCAGTTTCCGTATTCCACATCCTACCCTGTTGCTTGGCTGTATGTCTGGGCTTCTCGGAGGGAGCAGGACTGTGCTGGTTCCAGAAGTGTATGGTTGTCCAGAGTATCACTGGTCAGTGGGTCCCAGAGAAGCCCTCAGGATGCTTTCGGATGGCCTCTCAGGAGGCAGAGGCAGGTCACTGGCTCCTTTCGTCCTTCAATGTCTCTGATTAGAGGCTGTTCTGGACCACTCTGAAGATAGACTGGTGGACAAGGTGGACTCGGCCCCTGCTCTTATGGCGCTCCCAGTCTACTGGGCAAGCCAGATGTAGAGTAAAAAATGTCACGTCAAGTCAGCGGTGAGTTCTGTTTAGGGTGAGTGTAGAGGGGTGAGCAGGATCCAGGACACATGGGGGCTACTTATCACCAAAAGTGGCTGTAAGCCTCTGCCAGCCCTCGGCCCCCCCATCTGTGCATTCAGCTCTCAGTCATTGGCTCAGCTTCCAAGCACCAGACCTGTGCTGCTGACAGATGCATGGAGCATGCTCCTTCCTCCAGGAAGTTCTCCATCAAGCACACACATGCTTACACCAGTCACCCACATTGCATACTGGGCGGCAGTGTTTTGTTGGAGAGGCATGTGAGGAGCGTGGGGAGTGTGGAGGAAGGGCTCCCCACCCCTCACGTCTACCAGCATTTTCGAGCACCTTGCTGGTCATCAGTCATCGTGCTAAGTGCTCTATCCACACTGTCTACTTAAGTACTCTCAGTGCTCTGCTGTGTCACTTTGACCTTTTCAAGTCGAAAACAAGTCCCCCCTAAACTAAGTGATGACTGCTGTGTTGGGCGTGTGGGCAGTTGTCCTTTGCTTCTGCGGGCCCCAGCCAGGCGTGGGTGCCTCTCGAAGTGGGTGCTCGTCTTCTGTTTCTCAGTTTTGAGGGGGAGGGACCCCGCTCCTCTGGAATTGATTTTCTCTCCAGCCTTGTCATTCCGTGGTAACATGGACCCTCGGGGCAGGATCCTTGTTATTTCATGTGCCGCAAGGCAGGGAAAACAGCCCAGAGGGTACCTGGTAGCTGGATAGGTGTTACCCCATAGGCTGGAACTCACTGTCTGCCCCTCGGGCCTGAGTCTTGTTGGGGGAGCAGAGCCAGTGTAGCAGGGGGCTAATTGAACTCACTTTCTTAGGCACAACTGATTTGCACCTTGGCTCTCCTGTGCTGGCCCTGTAATCCTGGCTGTGTCACTTCACCTCACGGAGCCTTCCTCACATGGCGAGGATAACGTAGCCCGTAGGGTTGTCACACAGCTTCACTGAGGTGGTACCCCCAAAGCAGTGGGTGTGGTGCCTGGCCAGTGGGGCTCTCATTATGAGTCCTTATTCACTCTTTTCTTCCAGTGAGCCCTGTGTGGATGCTCATGGGACCCTTGAAGATTCCTGACCGAAATAGTTTTTGCCCTGGGGGTGGTGATCTTGGGAGGGAGGTTGTTGAGGCCCCCAGTGGAGCCCTTTGGAGCTCTTTCTTGTTGGCCAACTCTTTGCTGGATCAATTTTTCAACCTCAGGGCCTTTGCATTAACTATTCTCTCTGCCTAGAATATTCTTTCCTCAGATGGCTGGTTCCTTTGCTTACTTCGAATCTTTGCTAAAATGCCTCCTTCTCTGTGAGGCCTTTCCTGACAGCTCTACTTAAAATCAAAGTCCCTGCCTCATACTTCCCTGCTTAATTTCTGTCCATAGATGTTTTAATCACCCCAAATACCATGTTTATCTACCCATCTATCATCTGTCTTGACCACTAGAATGCGAGCTCCATGAGGGATGTTTGTCTGTCTTACTTGCTCATCATTTCCCAGCACCCGGACTGGTACCTAGCACAGAGTAGATGCTCAATAAATACTTGCTGAATGGGGACACCTGGGTGGCTCAGTGGCTGAGCGCCTGCCTTCGGCTCAGGTCATGATCCTGGGGCCCTGACGTTGAGTTCTGCATAGGGCTCCCTGCATGGAGCCTGCTTCTCCCTCTGCCTATGTCTTTGTCTCTCTCTCTCTGTGTCTCTCATGAATAAATAAATAAAATATTTTTAAAAAACTTACTAAATGAATGAATGGAAGAAGGACATTTCTCTACTACGTTACAGAACTGGAATTCTGAAATCATTTTGCATGGTGGAGTCAAACAAAATAAAGCGGACAAAATTGAACAGATTGATGCAAAACCCTTGCTGCTCAAGTAGATCGTGGTTGGATGGAAAATTCATCTGTGTTCATTAGAACTGGAAGGGACAGGCCATACACAATATGAGGCTGAAGAAGAGGGTGACAGTGTCAATTAGTATATTAAATATTAGTCAGGGTTTTTTCTTCTTCTTTCATTTAAAAAAGATAACATATATATAAATGAAACTTTGGATTGGGTTGACTTGCATATCCCTTAGGGCCCAGGCATTTTAGTCTAGAGATCACTGATTTAGTGTAAGACTTTCATTTCCCCTCAGAGTTGGGGCAGGGACTGCCCACGATCCCACAGTGAGTTAATGGTGAGACCATTTATTCATTCAGTAAGTGTTCACTGGACACTCCCTTTATAGCTTCACCGAGCTATGCGCTGGGGCTGCGGGGCTGCAGGATCCTGTCCTGGACCCCACCAACAGGACGTGAACTCAGGTTTTTTGACTCCTGAGCCCATTGCTCTTTCTTGTACTTTATGTGGCACTTCTAGTGGATTGCTGTCCCAAATGAACCAGCAGTGCTGTGAGGCTGCTTACGGAAACTGATGCCCCTCTTGGGTTGTCTCTTCAGAGAGACACAGTGTCCAGATCAGAGGAGGTGACTGTGCTGCCCTGCTGTACCGTGGCCAGGCCAGCCGCAGGTGCCGCATTTGCTCCTGGGTTATGGGGACTGCCTTCTGGGGGCCTTGATGGACTAGGATGCGTCAGTGGCCTGGCCAGCCCCCTCACATACTGCTGTTGTCCTTGCAGCCAGGTGGGCACCACGGCAGGGCTTGAGCCACCCTCATGGAAGGGAGAGGACCATACCGGATCTACGACCCAGGGGGCGGCGTGCCCCTGGGAGAGGCTTCCGCAGCCTTTGAGCGCCTAGTGGAGGAGAATTCCCGACTGAAGGAAAAAATGCAAGGGATAAAGATGTTAGGTAAAACAGACCCCACGCTCTCCCCGCAAGCCTCCTCCCTGCGGCCTGCAGTGCCACCTGGCATGCGCCTCCACCCAGGTCATCCCTCTGGCCCTCCTGGCCCAGCAGTGGCTCCTGCCTCACAGCTGTGTCTCTGCACTGTTATAGCATGATGGCAGCGTTTCCAGCCCCGATTCTGAGTCCCCAGCACCGTGACGACAGGGCTTACAGTACCCAAGGGATGTTGAAGCAGGCAGGGGTGGGGGAGGGAGGAGGACCTAGAAGGTCCAGGTCTGTGGATGTGGAAGCAGGATGGCCTCTTCTTCCAGAAGCACCAGGAATGGGAGAGCTGACATCAGCAGGGCGACAAGGGCACAGTCCCCAAGTGTTGGAGCGGGGACCTGAGCTTGGCTTGAAGCAAAGCGGGAAGAGATCCCTTGATGTCTCTTTTCCTGGCTTTTGCTCTGGCTGTCTCCATTGCCTGGAGCAGGTCCCCTTACCGCCCCATGCCTGAACCAGCCCAGATGCCATTGCTTCCCCGTGTGAAGGATTCCTTGATTCCCTGTCCAGAGGAGTCTCTTTTGCTCCACGCCCCTAACACTCTTCCTTTGCCCTGCTGCCACCTTCTCTGGCCTTAGGCTTTGGGGATGAGCATAGCTCCCCGATTTTCCAGCTGCTTACTCCTTGCTTGGCAGATCTCCGCTTGGAATGGCAGATTAGGGAAGGGGGAGTGGCATTCCTCATTCTCCACCTCCAGAAGGGAAACTGAAGCCCAGAGGGGTGGTGGTATTACCAAGGGTCTCCTCCCTTCTGGCAGCCCCTGACTGGGGGGTGGGGGCTGGGGGTAGCCGCCATGTGCCATGATGGTCAGTCTCAGAGAGCCCTTGGCTTTCTGCAGAGTCCCTGGCCGGATGTAGCTGGAGGCCAGAAGTTCATTCCAGGTTCCCCTCTTCTTTTTCCCTGATTGTGGGGCCCTTCTCCACCTGGCCTATCTCTGCTTGGGGGCTGGAATGGTGCGTGTTGCACTCAGCCCACAAGGCCGTGGTGGGGGCCCAGCCCAAGGCCTGTGACATCAGAAGCCCCACACAGAAGCAGGCTCAAGGGCGTGGGCCCGGGCCAACCGGTGCACTCAGCTGACTGACTCATTTGCTCCCTGTCATCTCCCCAGGGGAGCTTTTGGAAGAGTCCCAAATGGAAGCATCCAGACTGCGGCAGAAGGCTGAGGAGCTGGTCAAAGACAGCGATCTGCTCCCACCACCGTCTCCCTCTTTGACCTCCTTTGACCACCTGGCTGAGCTCACAGGTATGAGGGGGGCCCGGGTGGACCACTCCCTCCCCCAGACTCCTAATTCTCTAGCCCCTGAACCGTGTGGTCTCCCTCCACTTGGAAACCCGCATCTCCTCCGTGGATCCTTAGGCCACAAACCATCCTCCTAGTCATGTTTTGTCTACAGCCTCCCTCAGAAGGTCAGGTTTGGAAGGGACTTCAGAATAATTCTGTCCACAAATGGCTGATGATGCAGCCCTTCTGAGGCCCTTGCAGACATAAGCGATGGATCACAATTCTCTGCACCCAAGATGTGGCCTCAGGATCTGTATCAGCGTATTTGTTTAGCAGATCTGTAATGAGCAGCTACTACGTGCCAGGCATAGAGTTCTTGGCAGTGACTTCGAGTTGCTCAGAGTTGGCACCTGGGTCAAAAGCTCTCTGGGCTGGCCCTACTTTTTCTACTTTACCCCAGGGGAAGCCAGGCCCATGGAAGAACCAGGGTTTCCTGTTAGCCAAGCTGCAGTGTATTTCAGGTGTGAGGGGCACACACTACCCATTAAAGGGAAGCATTGATGGGGAAGGATTATAGTACTGGTGTGGTTGCCACACATTCCTCGGCATGTGTCCCTGAGTCCAGGGCAAGGTTGGAAGACCTGGTCCCCGCACACAAGGCGCAGGTGGCTTCTGCTACAGCCCGCCTATGGTCTTCATCTAGGCCGCTGTGGCAGCCTTCCACTGGCTGGTAGTTACATTTGCTGAAGGGGCAAGTGGAAGACAGTGATGATCCCAGAGTCCACTGCGCTGCAGTCAGTGGGCACATCTAGCCTCCACTTGTCCGTTCAGCAGCGATCTCTGAGTCCCAGCTGGGTGCCGGGCCCACCCCCTGAGTGAGACGGGTACCCTCCAGCAGCTCCAGGAGGTAGGAGGGAGAGCCAGGGTTAAGTCCTGCTTTTGCGGTTGCTGGCCGTGTGACTGTGGGCCTCCTGGTGACCTCTCCATGCTTCCTGTTTCCTTACTTGAAAATGGAGATACAGAGCTGTCCTGAGAATTGGCTGATGTAAAAATACTTTGTTAATCATCAAGTGTCACCCTTGTTGCCGAGGCAGGTCCAGGCTAGCGAGGAACAGTGAGCACGTTGGGACCTTTTCCCAGCAAGTCCACAGAAGATGGCCTCTCTGCCCAGGTTCTGTCCCCATAATTCCAGTCATTTTCCTAGGCTACCTGGCCTTGGTGGGACCGTCTCCCACTTCCCCAGACTCAATGGAGGGAATGCTGAGAACTCTGCTGGCCCGGGCTGTCCTCAAGGGCGTGGTATCTGGGCTTTCTCCCTTTTCCTGCTGCTTATCCATGTCTTCTCAATTCTCTAGGAAAGGATGCAGGTGTCCCAGCACCTCCTGCTGACCCTGCACACCCCAGTGACAAGTCACAGCTGGTCCCAAAACCTCCATCCAGTGTAAGTTACATTTGGAGTCATGGCTGAAAGTTGCCTAGACCTCAAGGGCCCGTGGGGAGGCAGATACAAGAACTTGAAGAGAGAGGGTTGAGGTAAAAAAACTTGGGTTATGATTTGCTAGGTGGTACTGGGCCTCAGTCTGTCTGCCTGGGGCCTCAGTTTCCCTGTTTTCAAAGGAAGGGCATAGTTAACACTTACCAGGAAGACCCTGCTATGCACAGGGCATTCCTCCCAGCTCCTGAGTTGCATCATGCCAAGCATGTGTGGACCGTGCACAATCGCTGGGAAAATGGATAGATGTGACGTGAAACTCACATTCTCAAAGAGGGCTTGGAAAGTGTCTTTTCCAGATTTACCTTGCGGGGTTCTTGTCATTCTTGTTATTCTAGCACTGGAAAGGAATGGTGGTCATATTGTTTAGTGTCACCATCCTACAGATGAGGTCCAGAGAGGGAAGAGGGTTTGGTTGTGAGGTCTCACACAGACCACTGAGGAGATGGAGACTGAAAGGGAGACTTCCTAGGGCAGGGTCGAGATCCAGAGCTGGGGTCCTGGTGGCCATGAGGCTCAGCTGCAGCTGGGTACAGAGATCTTTCCACCTGTCTTCCCATTCCTGGCATGAGGGAAGGCTGGAATAGTCCTTGGAGACCAGGTTTAATAGCCAGAGCCAGTTCCTGGTTGAGAGGACCTACAGGCTTATCTGTTGGTTGTACAACCGGTGTATTCTACTTGGTATGGCCAGGAGATGTGAAGAATCTGGGAGTCCTTGGCCACCCTGCATTTGGGTGAATTCTGAAATCTCTCCAAATTTGTTGGCGTGTCCTTGGGACTTACTGCAGATTGTTCCACTGCTCTGGGATCTCTGGGACTGGGTTGGCGTGGTTGGCATAGGATGGCCTTGATGGTGGCCCTGACTGTGATCTGTATTCCCTGCTCTGGTGTTAACTAACCACATGCTTTCAGTTTCCGCATCTGTCCAAAGGGGATATAACCCTCTGACCTCGGTAGGTAGCTTTGAGAAATAATGGAATTTGTGAAGATGTTTTAAAAGTGCAAAGCCCTCTAGAAGAAAATAAGGTTTCAGAGTGCTAGTGGTTCAAGGGCACTGGTCCCATCATCCCTGTTTTACACATGAGGAAACTGGCCACGGAGGGGAAAGTGACCTCAGATCACACAGTGGAGTGCGGGCGGACCTGCTGGGAATCCTGCTCTGTGGTCTCACAGGAAGTGGTATGGAATTGCCCTGTGAGCTCAGCCTCTGCACAGGGGGGTGCCCTGAGTCACGAGGTCCTAGAGGAGGGGCGAGGTGTTTTTCTCTCAGGCCATCCCTAACTCCCTTTCTGTACAGGGCACCTCCTCTGAATTTGAAGTGGTCGCCACTGAAGAGCAGAAATCTCCACCCACGAATGGTGGCCGCACCAGGAACACAATGGTGAGTGGATGGCAGGTCCCTGGCACGTCCCATGTCTCCTCTCTGTTTTGGTCACCTGGCCCAGGCTGAGAGGCACAGGATCTGCTCAGATCCCTTGGGTACTCTGGAGTCACTGGGGATCCACAGGGGGCTGGGCAGGGGGTGCTTCTCGCTCACATATGCAAATTCCTGGCTGGTGACTTCCCCGACTTGGGCCATACAGGCACCCGACCATTGAGAAAGCTTGGGCACATTGCCAGCCCTGCTGGTCTCAGCCTTGTGCTGAGCACCCCCACAAACTGTGACTCAGCTTTTGGGCCTGTGGGCTCCTCACCGGTTAGAGTGGAAAGGGTCGGAGAAACCCAAAATAGCTTAAGGCAGATGCTTTAACCTTTTGTGTAGGCTCTCTGCTCCTCCCAGGCTCCCCTTCAGGGCATTTATGTGTACACACACGCACAGACACACATACACACTCCTCCAGCTCTGGGGGCATCTACCCAGCATCCTTTCTGTACCTTATTCTACTTGCTGCTTTTATTCTAACCGTGTCCCTCTCTGCTGTCCCTTAAAATGGTAGACTTACTGGAGAACCATTGCAAAAGATCTAGAATATTCCTCGTCAAAAGTCTTAAAGCCCTTTTCTCTCCTCCTTCCCTCTCTGTGTCCACTTTGAGATTTTTTTGGTGGTGGTTATAAAGGCAATAAGCGGCCTAACTCTTCCCCTTGGTCTCTGTTTCCTACCTCCCACCAAGGACTGGGAGGCCAATGTTGCTCCTTGGCTCACTGGTGACGTATCGCATCTGTCAGTGCCCAATGTGAGGTCCCCATCAGGTGTCATCCAGCTTCCAGTAGCATGTCTTCAGTGACAGGTGGCACCTCACCATATTAGTATCAGAAAGTTTCATGTTTTGTGTCCTGGGAGCTTTTGCCTATTTATCCTGCTCTATCGCTGAAGGCTCTGAGATGCTGGCAGAGGAGGAGAGACAGCCCCTATCCCCTGGCCCTGCTCAGAGAGTGTTTTACTTTATGACCTTGGACCAGTGGTTTCATCTTAATAGGTTCCTCCTTAGCCCCACCGTGTGCCTAGTCTGTGCCAAGCAAAGGCAGGACAGCCTCCCTGCCCCCTGGGAGATTGCAGGCTGGTTGGAGAAATTGCAGGGATGAAGCAATTTATGAGCCTTTAAAATAGAGCAGCAGTCACCACCTCTTGTGGGAAGAGGCAGTGGGGAAATGAATGCAGAATTGAAGAAGCAGCTTTAACTTCTGCTAGGATAAGGTGCTAGCAGTATTACATAGGCATTGACTAGATGCCAAGTTGTGGCTATAGGGCATTTCCAGGGCCACAGAGTGCAGAGACAAGGGAGCCCAGTGTGGCAGGGCACTGGATCAAGAGTCAGAAATCTAAGTTCCGGTCCTGGCTCTGCCACTGACTCACTGGGCAACTTCAGGCAAGTTCCTTCTGCCCATACTATGGTTTTCCAGCCTGAGCCCTGAGGCTCCCCATGGCACTGACGTCTGTAACTTCCATAAATATTTAGGGGAGTCTTCTAGAGGAGCTGAAACATGGACAGGACTGAGAAGGTTGAGCGGAGGGGACACTGTGGGAATGAAACCTGAGGAGGCACAGGGCCTGGCACATGGAGGCTCAGGCAGGGGAAGGTGGGGACTCATCCCTGGTAGGGGAGCCAAGCTCGATGCAGTGAGTTATAAGGTGCCAGTGAGGATCCTTGGGCATGGTATTGGCATAACTAAGGCACCATTGTCTTTGGTAAGAATGTTCCAAACAGAGGAGAGGTGGCTAAAGAGAGAGAGAGAGACAGAGACAGAGACTGATTAATTATTAAGATTGGACTGTTTTGCCCATAGTATGCTTCATTTCTTGTATACTCTACTAAATTGTATACTCTACTAAATCTACTCTTTGATCCCTCTAGAGCAATGTGGTTTTTTTTTTTTTTTTTTTTTTAGAGCAATGGTTCTTGACCTGTTTTAACTCTTGGCTCCTCTAAGGAGTTGTTGAATGTTTGGACCATTACCCCGAAGATACACATAGAGACATAGAAGTCAGATGCTTCTGGTCTCTGCATGGTCACTGGTCAAGAGTCCCCGAATCAAAGAAGCAGTGCTGTAGATAAAGTGACACCCCTGTCCTGGGCTTGCAGTTTTCACATGTCAGTTCACCCTCCTGAGAAACCTGTGAGGGGATCCCTGGGTGGCTCAGCAGTTTAGCACCTGCCTTCGGCCCAGGGTGTGATCCTGGAGTCCTGGGATTGAGTCCTGCATCAGGCTCCCTGAATGGAGCCTGCTTCTCCCTCTGCCTGTGTCTCTCTCTCCCTCTCTCTCTCTCTCTCTCTGTGTCTCTCATGAATAAATGAATAAAATCTAAAGAAAAGAAAAGAAACCTGTGAGGTAGATGGGAGGGGAGGGAGAGTGTGTACATTTAGTAGAGGAAGATTCTGAGGCCTAGTGGACGAGTGGTTTACCCATAGACAGTTAGTGAGGCCCAGAGTGTGGGAAGAAGGTGGCTCTGCTGCTGGGAAGCCAGCCTATGGCCTGGGAGTCCCAGGTCCTGCCCTGTGAGTCAGCCCCAGACAGGGAACCTATGTAACTGGAGAATTTCCCTGGGTTGAGCTGGGTTCAGAGGGGAAACTGAGTCATGAGGCATGGGGAAGCAGAGGGAGAAAGGCTGGTGATGAGTGGTCCATGTGCCCTCCCTCCCACCAGGAGTTGGGTCCCCTACCTCATGAGGACAGCAACCTGTTGCTGCATCTGCAGCGCCTGGAGACCACGCTGAGCGTGTGTGCTGAAGAACCGGACCGCAGCCAGCTCTTCATGCACCTGGGCCGCATGGCCCTCGAGTTCAACCGGCTGGCCTCCAAAGTGCACAAGAATGAGCAGCGCACCTCCATCCTGCAGGTGAGGCTCGCTGGGAGGGTGGCCAGGTATGCAGGTGTACTCCCTCTCTGCATCCTCCTCCAGCTCTTCTTGGGAAGCCAGGGGTACCACAGGCACCTCTGAGGGTGATACTGGGGGCTGACTTATCGTTCAGGGTGGCGAGAAAGGTGAGGAAGTTGTGGGAAGGTATGAGGAAGAGGAAGGAAATTTGGAAAATGTGGCTGGCCAATGCAAATTTCATGGTTGGGGATACCAGCGGGCGTGGACGTGGGCAGGTCGCATCAACCCTGCCTCTAGTGAGTGCTACAGTTGGGATTCAGACCTCAGTTCTAAATCCCATGTTCTAAGCATCATCCTAATCTGCCTCCCAGCCCTCCCTGCATGGTGGGAGTGAAGTCAGATTCCTTCCTAGGCCAGGCCAGGCCTTGGGATAGAATGGTTCTAGTAATGACTTTTTCTTTTTTCTGTATGACAGTGAACAGGTCACTTACTGTCTCTGCCCCACACTGTTCTTCTGTAACATGGAGCTAGGAATGCCTCTCTCATGAGATTGCTGTATTCGTGAAGCTCCCAGGGCAGCCTTAAACATAGCCAAGTGGTCACTGTTAGGGTTTCATGGGGATTGGTCATCTGTACTGGACAGGGGATCTTAAACCTCATGGGTCTTGGGTAGGGAAGGACTCCCAGATATTGAAACTTGGTTCTAGGAGCACCTGAGCACCTGTCACCTTAGTGACAAGGCTTAATTTGAAGTCTCCTTCCTTCCATGGTACCAGTCATTGATCTGTGGTCTCATTCATGTCAGCAGACATTCAAGACCTTCCAGTTGATGGGGAGTGGGGATGAGGAGCAGTCTACTGTGTGCGACTTTGGGAAGGGCTGGGTTGACGAGAGCAGGAAGGGCGTCCAGGTGTGAGGAGAGATGTGAGGGACAGAGGACTCCCATCCCACCGTTGGGGAGGCACACGTTGAGGGGAGTGAGGGGAGTGACTGGAGTCTACTGTGAGGGTCTTGGGGGCGGTGCAGGCTAAGGGAGACATCCTTCTGATATCAGAGAGGCTTTGAGGCATCAAGCCAAGCTCCGGGGAGGTGACTGTGGTACACTGTGTGGCGTGAGATCCCTGTGAGTGTCAGCTTCTTGGCTTTGAAATGGGGATTGATACCAGGCCTCATAAATGAGGGTCCTGCCAACCTCTAGTATTTTTTATATATTGAGCTCCCTTGTGTGTTTCCTTCTTCGCTGTTCTTATAGTTTGTCATCATTTTATCTTGTTAGGTGGTTTACTTACACTGTGTTTGATCTCTTTCCCTTGCACTCCCCGCTAGAACATAAGGCTCACAAGATGAGGTAGGAACCTTGTCTGTCATATTCACCACCACATCCCAGTGTCCAGCACTTAGCAGTGTTTCATGTGCATTTTTGAGGGAGTGAGTGAATGAATGATCAGATCACTTCCTAGGTAAGCTCTCTGGCCCCTTTGATAGAAGGCGATGACCTTGGTGACATCCCCCAGAGACTCGGAGGAAACAGCCTTCTGGACTGGAAGGTAGACAGCACATGAGATCTCGTCCTGACCTTCACTTAGTGATGGGGAGCAGGACATTCTGTTCCTGCCCAGGGCCACAGCATCCTGGGTATTTGCCTACCCTGTGGGTGGAGGCACATTAATCCAGTTCCTCCTCCTTTATTCATTGATTTGTTTGTTGGTTCACTCAACAAACAGTGTCAAAGGCAGATATGGTGCAAGGCCTCTGCTAGACCCAGGAACCAGTCACAGTAGTATTTTGTCCTCTTGGCCACAGATTCCTCATGTCCTACCAGCCTCTATTTCTAGGCTGTCTCCTCCATGCAGCCTTCCCAGGTCTCCTCTGTGTTAGCCAGAAAGAGCTAGGTTTTGCTGTGGAAACAAACAATTCCCTGGCTAACATAGTTTTCCCTCAGATTACATATGGCAGAGGCTTGTTTCTGCTCCTTAATTACTGAGAGGCCCAGGCCAACAGACACTCCAGCATCTCATGCCCCTTGGGATATGAGGCAGCCACAGCCATAGGGGAGAGAGACCAGAGAATGTGCCCAGGGCCAGCCCAGAAGTGAACACGTGTTGCTGCTGCGTACTTTTCAGGAGAGTCTGGGACATGGAAACAAGATAGCGGGTGGAAGGCAGGGAATACCACTGGCTGTGCATGAGCCAGCTTAGCTACAGGCTTTTCCTCCCCTCTCTGCGCCTGCCTGTGGCATGAGGCAAGGCGGGGGCATGCAGGGGGACACGCCAATTCAGGTCTGCCACATGGAGTGTAATCCTAGTGGTGATTCTTAGCAGCTGTGCAACCTCATGCAAATTATTTCACCTGCACCAGCCTGCTTTGAAAACAGAGATGAGTTATGTAGCTCTGGGGAAGCCCTGCAGCTCCCATGAGGCAGCGAATGGAAGAGCACCTAGCTGTGGACACAGCATGTACTAGGTGCTCACTAAGTTTTTGTCGAAAGAGTAACTTCATATGGACACGGTGTGTCAACGGTCCTAGGAGGCATCTCCTGCCCTCCCGTCTGTGAGGCCCTGGGCCTGGTCAGCCATCTTCCAGGCCCCCTCACCTCGCGGTGCTTCCAGCAGGAGTCCTCAGGTATCGCCAGGTGACTGGCAGGCCACAGGGTGCTTACACTTTGATGGTCTTATTTGTCCTCCATCATCACTCTGGGTTTGGGATGCATCCCCCTCCCTCACCTCGCCCCCATCTGCCTCTCTGCCTTGCAGACCCTGTGTGAACAGCTTCGGAAGGAGAATGAGGCCTTGAAGGCCAAGCTGGACAAGGGCCTGGAACAGCGGGATCAGGCTGCTGAGAGGCTGCGGTAAGTCCAGGCTCCTCTGGAGCGAGGAGTCAGATGGGCAGGAGAAGAGGGTAGTGCCTGGCACCAGTGGGCTGAGGGCCGAGGGTTCTGAGGCTTTGGATGGCAGGTCTGTTGGTCCTTCTCCTTGGGTACCTTGGTGTTTCCTCTCTGGGCCTTTTAATGCCGTTATAGAGTGCCCTGAGAGCTTCAGAAGAAGGGCTGTGCAAACTGCGCTCCTTCCTGGGGAACTTGCCACCCTAGCCTGTCCACGGAGAGGCCAGCCTGCTGTTGGGACAGGGTGCGGGACGTTGCTGCCATCTGCTGGTCACCGTCGAGGCCTGCTCTTTTCCTGCTAACAGTCTGGGTCCCTCATGTGTCTCCTGGCCTCAGGATCACTGAGGGTCAGGGAAGGTGTGACCCGTTCACACCCCCACCGCTCCCTCCTCTGCTGAGATCCTGAGTCTGTGGGTGTGAAGCAGGCCTAGGCATTTTCCCAAGGGCCTCCGTGATTACCACGTAGGTAGACCCCAGATCACACTTGAGAAACACTGCTCTTGACTGTCGGAGTTTCAAGGGCCCTTCGGGATTATGCAGGCCAGACTCCTCATTGTGCAGAGGGGAGACTGAGGCCCAGAGAGCGTAATGTCCAACTAGTGAGTCACTGTGCCATTTTGAGTCAGCATGTGCCTCTTTACTTCTGGGTGGCCAAACACTTGGGAGTTTGGGGGCCATCATGACTCCATCCACAGGTCTGAGACCCAGGCTAGAGGAAAGACTCGTGACTGGGAGGCAACAGTGCAGGTCTTTGCTGTGTGACCCTTGGGAAGGCCACTTTGCTTCTCCATTTTTCTATTATTCCATGGACACCTAGCTGGCAAATAGAACATAAAGAAATATTTTCCCTATTTCAGTCATGCCTGAACCCACATCAACACTTTTATTATGTCCTATGTCACCTTATTGATTTAAGAATTTGCTTTGATATTAATCACATTTTTACTTAATGTTATTATAAAAAGAAAACTTGCTCTGGACTTAATGGAATACCTATAATGAATTGAAGATAACTCCACTGATAAATACAATGAAAATGGGTGTTAATAAGTTCTGGCAAAGTGCCGCCGCCCATGGAAGGGTCTGAGCCTGCAGCCTACACTTTACTCTCCCTGCAAGCAGTGGAGACGAGCAAATCCTGGAGGAGAGCTCCACACCCGTTAGCACCAGCCAGGACTGTTTCCATGCTCTACACAGGAGGTTTGAAGCTCATTGGAAAGGGTGTAACTTTCTCCCTGGAGTGCCATCAGGGTCGTGTAATACAGGTTTGGATGCATCCTAGAGATCTCATGTATGCAGACCTCCCACAGTTGGGAAACCCTGCCTTTGATGATCAGAGACTTCTAGAGAAGCCCACATTGACAGCAAAGTGGCCTAAGGACACCTTCCCGCCGAGGGCTGGTTTCAGGATCCTGCTGTATTCTCCAGGGCGCAGCTACACTTCACATGAGTAGTAGGTCCTCGAACCCCAGCCTCAATGCAGGGCTAGCAATGTGACCTCTCTGTTTGCTTCTGACCCAGGGAGGAAAACATGGAACTCAAGAAGTTGTTGATGAGCTGTGGCAAAGACGATGCTTGTGGGCAGCCAGGCTCACCAAAGATAGAAGGCGTAGGCAAGAAGGGGGTGGCCGGACAGCAGCAGGTACGTGCCCAGAAACTCCTCCAGCATCCTCCGTCCCTGGTGCCTGACCTCTGCTGCCACGTCGTGTGGCAGTGAGCTTACCACCTCCTGTTGCTGCAGTCAGCTCCCCTGTTACCAGCTTCTCATCAGATGTCTTCTCCTTAGCTCAGCCTGACAATCTGCCCGTGGAGCTTCCACTCCTCAGCCCTCATTCAGCATCTGATTCCCTGGGATACACACACGCAGGTTGCTGGCCATGACCTTGGCTGGTGCCCTCCCGCCCCCCCCCCCCCCCAGGCCTTCTCCTCTCCAGGCTGAGCAGCTCTGATTCCTTTGGCCACTGCCTGCACAAAGTACTGTTGAGTCCTTCACACACTCTGGGCACATTCCCTAAACATGTTCTCTCAGGCCCAGAGAGGAAGTTTGTGAAGGTTTCTGATGGGTGGGTTTCAAAGGTCAGTTTAACATCCTATATTCTTAGTAGAATTAGGGTGTTGGGTTGAGAAAGCCCCTCAGGGGACCCTGGTAAGCTCCGGGGATTACGCCCTGGAGCCTGTGACCTGGAGAGAAGTGGGGGTCAGCTGACACTGCTGTGGCCTGGTACCCCTTCCACGGCCCCTCCTAGCTGTGGCTCACATCCAGTTCCCAGGCACCTGCTGGCCCTCCTCCCTTGCCCAGTCTGTGTCTTTCTCCTCCCTGCAGAGCTGAGTCCCAACTTCTTCCTGACACATTTTTCCCTTTTAATGGGGTTTAATGACTGCACAGCGGGACTCCACATCTTTAACAAACCCCACACCTATGTAATGGCAGCAATTATCCTAATAACTTAATTCCTTGTTACTACGTGGCAATGTAGAATTTCTGCGGGACTTGCAAAGCTGTCATCCTGTTTGGATCTCCACTCTACACGTAGGCTAGGTAGGGTCAGGTCCATTACTCCATGAAACAGCTGTGGCAGGAGGTGTGGGGAGGTCATGTGACCTCCTGTCATCAAGATCCCTGCATCACCTGCCATCACACGGACAAGCCGAAGCCAGAGCCATAGGTCAGCAAAACGTGCTGATAAATGGTTTTCTGAATTCCAGTCTGTGAAACCCCTCCCTTCCTCCATTTACCCCTCAGGGCAGAGCCTGCCTTGGCTCATCCTCCTGGGGAAGTGACTGATGGAGCCCCTGATCTCCTGTGGGTTCCCTGGCCACCATGGGTGTGGGATTCTGTGGGCAGGCCTCCTCATTTTCCCGGGCCCTCATCTGGCTTGATTCCCTGAAGGCCCAGCTCTTCCTACCAGGCTGCCAGGGAGGAAGGTCCCAGGGGGGCATGTCTTACAGGCAGCGGCAGAGCCAGTGCCCTGGAGCCGCATGTGGGTTGAAGGCTGGCTCCTCCTGCCAGCACTGCCACCTTGGATGAGTTACCTAAACCAACTGTGGCTTCTGTTTCTCCCTCTATAAAATGGAAACTGTAACAACACTTGCCTCAAAGAATGGGGGGAGGATTCAGGGATGTGAGTACCTGTAAAGTAGGTTTGGTGCTGGGCGCATGGTAAACCGTGAACTTTAGCTGTTGCTTTTAATGGCGGTTCTGGTGCCAGCAGCCAGGTGGGCTGACTCTTCTCTTCTTTGTGGAGGTTCAGGGTGTACCCCCCAGGAGCCCCGATCCCCTCTTACTCTTTGCCCTGTAAGGAGGCAGCAGACTTCTAGAGGCAGGCCTGTCCTTTGCCTTTCTTAAAGGCGAGGGTCCCTGGAGGGCTCCCCCAGCCCTGGTTCTGTGGCATGCTGGTAGACTTTAGCCTGCGGGGGCTACTTGAGCCTCACTAGTTCTACCCTCAAGACCACCCCCCTCCTCCAGTCCCACCCCCAGCCCTGGGGGAGTGATGAGGGGACAGGAAGGCAAGGGATAGAGGGAATGTGGGCAGTGACCCCAGGACAAATGCTGACAAGCCCACTGGATGTCCTAGGTTAGGGCCTTCAGAGCCCATCTTGTTCGATAGCCTTGTACCAAGGCCCAGAGCTGGCGTGGGTTGTGGCTCCTGCTGGCCTGGCCTCAGACCTAGAGAAAGCACTCCACTGCCGGCCTCCGAAGCTTGTTGCGCCCTTTCGCCTCAATATTTCCTAGTTTTTTTTTTTTTTTAAATGTTTTTTAAACTTTATCTTGAGATCACTTTAGATTTACAAAAGAGTTTCAAAAGTAGTCCAGAGAATTCCCGCATCCCCTTAACAAGTTACATAACTGCGGTTCAATGATCGAAACTGGCAAATAAACAATACTATTAACTAAACTACAGACTTTGTTCAGATTTTGCCAGTTGCTCACTTGGCATCCTCCTCCTGCACCTTCTGTGCGGGCGCCGCCAGTTGGGGACCCCACATTTCCTTAGCGTATGCCAGCCTGTGACCATTCCCAGGCTCGCCCTGTCTTTCACAAGTGTGACGCTTTGAGTTCTACTGGCCAGTGATTCTGTAGCGTGTCCCTCAGTGGGGTTTAACCGATGCTTCCTTGTGATTAGATGAAGGGTGTGCACTTGGGCGAGAGCACCATGGGAGTGACGCTGTGAGCTTTATGGTGCGTCACGGCAAGGGCGTCTGACGTCAGCATATCTTATTACTGCCCACAGTGATTTCTTGGCTAAGGGGGTGTGTGTGTTGATTTCTCCAAAATAAAGAAACCAATTTTCCCCTTATCGTTAATAAATACTTATTTTTGAGGAAAATCTCTAAATCCATGCATATGTCCAGTTTCTCCTTACATTTCTCACTAATTTTAGAATCCATAGTGGATCCCACCTGCAGAGATCATTACTATAGTAGATTTTGAATTTCCCTCATTCCTTCCATGTTCAGATTTCTTCTGTAAGAGGGAGTCTTCCTATTTCCCCCCACTTATTTATTTATTCAGCTATTCCTTTCTACCAGTATGCACTCAAGGATATTTATTTTCTTTGGGCTTTAATCCAGTATGACCATGAGTTATAATTTTGTTCAAAGTGTTCCAGTTTGGCCATAGGAAGCTCTTTCAAATTGTCTCCCAGCCCATTAGACATGCTTTCCTTCTTTTTTATATTGTTATTATTGAGCACTTTTTAAGATTGATTTATTTATTTTAGAAGGGGCGGGGGCAGAGGGAGAGAATCTCAAGCGAGAGAGTCATAACCCTGATATACGACCTGAGCTGAAACCGAGAGTCAGATGCTTAACCGACTGAGCCGCCCAAGTGCCCCAGCACTTTCTCACTTTTTGGCACAAGATACTCCAAACTCTCCTTGTTTTCCCTTGTCCCTGGAATCAATCACTTCTCTAAGGAACCCTATTTCTTTTTTTGGAGAATAGCATTTAGAAACCAAGATCTGGACACTAGGTGTGCTCACTGCTACTGGAGTATCACTGCTCTAGGCTCTCTCAGAGGACAGAGCTAAGAGACACACGTATATGTACTAACTACACATACACATCTTTATGCCATGTCTTTCTAAAAAGCTTTTTAAGTAAACATTTAATAAAATGTTAAAAAAAAAAAACCTCTTATCACTCTTGCCTTCTAAGGTCAGGATTTTTGGTTGATGCTGCAGGTTTGGGAAGGTGGTGGTGCCTTAGAGAGAGAGTCTGAGCAGAGGAAGAAGTGGCCATGGGAAGGAGAGCAGTGGGCAGAAGGGCAGGGGTGGAGGAATAATGACTGGATAGACTTTCCAAAGCAGGCTTAGTCATGGCTGGGATGTGTAGTAGTGTCCTGGCTGGTGGATAGATTAGAGAAGTGGGAGACTGGGGGCTCGGTAAAGGCCTTCGGGGAGCACTGAGTGGATGGTAGAACTGTTTTTTGAGGCTTTGCTGAGGGCCCTTCTGTGGTTCTCCCCAGGCTTGTGTGACAGCAGCTAAGATCCCAGAGGTGGGGGCCTTGGGTGCAGCTGAGAAGAAGGTGAAGATGCTGGAGCAGCAGCGCACCGAGGTAGGCAGCTAGAGGGAGTGGTGGTGGTGAGAGAAGACCCACCTTCCCTCCTGGGCTTGGTAGGACAAAGGCCTTCCCTGGTACCCTGTCTCATCCCAGGTCACCATGATGAATTACCATGGTGACCACGGAGCCATCTGCTCCTTGAGGAAACCTGCTGCCTTGTTCTGGGCTCTTGTTTTTTTTGGGGGGGGGGAGGGGGCTCTTGTTTCTTAATCAGTTTTGCCTACGAGGGTCACTCTGAAAACGGGGCATTTGGGGCATAGCTTAAAATTGTTGGTGAGGGGATAATTTTGGAAGGTACACTCTGGGTGGTGGAAGGAGGTTGTGATAAGGTAGGCAAGTAGCAGCATCTAGGATGGGGAGCCTGGGGCTCCTCTGTCACCATGCACCTGGGTCGAGGAGGGACTGTCACAAACGGAGAGGATCCGACACCTTCTTGTAGCACTGCATTTCACCAGCTGGAAGTCTCTAGAATTGAGGTTATCCCCCTGTGCCTCCTCTATCTCCCACGCCAGGCCAGAATTTCCAGACTGGAGGTGGAAGCCCAACTCCTGTTCTCTTCACTGCTCCCCTCCGTACAGCTCAGCTGCTTCTCCAGACTCCTGGGCCTTGCTGCCATCCCTGGGCCTCCAGCATATTTGCAAGTTAGGCCTCCATCAGTCTTTTGTTTACATGTCTATCAATTTTAGGTTTCTTTTTTTTTTTTTGTATTGCTATAAAGTGTTTGCTTTGGTGACAAAAGCAACATAATGCTCATTAGAAAAATAGCCAGAATCTCACCACTTAGAGTTGCCCACAAGTTGGCAACAATCCTGTTTTATTGTGAACTTACTAACATAGAACCTGTTTTTTAAAATAGGCAGAAAAAATTATATCCTTGTTACTGCATTATTACAGGTTACTGTTTTTCTTTTCTCCTTCAAAATTAGCTCTCTTTGAGGGTATTTATGTATCAAACATCTACTCTATTTCTTCGCTTCTGAGTTAGTCTTTATCTTATGGTAACGTGTCTGAAAATGTGATGCCTTTTCCCCATTGTTTTATGTATTTAATGGTGTAGATTGTTTTTCTTCCCTGAGAAATTGTTGTGTCATGCATGGCAGATAATTAGGGTCATCTCAGTAATAACGCAGCCGTGTATCAGGGGCCTGATTTTCTTAATAAGTGCATGGGTGCCTCATTTTCAGTTTCTGCTGTAATTTTCGTAACCGACCTCCTACGTGCAGGTCGTCTCCTGGATTTGGCTGTGATACAAACACTGCTGGGAGGGCCAGCCTTGAACAGGTGCACTCGCACACTTGTGCAAAGCGCTTCCTTAGGTTTCATCTTCAGAGACAGACACTGAGTTAAGGAAAATGAGAATGTGAAGCTTTCATACGTAACTGCAACTCACGTGTGTGTTGTGTAACGACACACGTGCCTTTAGCATTAGGCTTCGATAGGATATAGCAGCTGGTGAAAGTTCCTGCTTGGAGAACCCCGAGATTTCAAGAAGGAGTTCTGAGGCAGTGTCCATGGGCTACCATTCCCCCCCACACACCATGTGTACCCTGGGAAGCTGGTCTTTGTGCCTTAGCTGCTTAGCCCCTGCTCACCCCCATCTCTCCCTGCAGCTGCTCGAGGTGAACAAGCAATGGGACCAGCACTTCCGGTCCATGAAGCAGCAGTACGAGCAGAAGGTAGTGTGGGGCTGCGGGAGCTCAAGGCTGAACCCCAAATTCCCGGCTGTGCAATCCGGGCCACCCTGGTCTCCGGCCTGCGGCTTCCCTCCCAGGAGCTTTGAACTGTGGAGGTGCGCCCCTGCCCTCACACACCCCCCTCTCTGCCCTTGAACCCAGATCACCGAGCTGCGCCAGAAGCTGGCGGACCTGCAGAAGCAGGTGACCGACCTGGAGGCCGAGCGGGAGCAGAAGCAGCGTGACTTTGACCGGAAGCTCCTCCTGGCCAAGTCCAAGATTGAAATGGAGGAGGCAAGTGGACAGCTGGTGCCTGCGGGCCCAGCTTGGGGGCCTCTGTCCCTGTCCCATTAGCCGAGGGCTCAGTGTAGGAAATAGGCTGTGGGCCCAGGTCGGGAGACCTGGGGGCTCCTGCGCTGGCCGTAGGGCAGAGGGCTGTGTGGCCCTAGGCAAAAGCACTTCCTTCCCTCTGTTTCCCATCTAAAAATAGAGACTGGATTAGCTGTTGCTTCATTTTATTTATTTTATTTTATTTTATTTTTATTTTATATTTTATATTTTATATTTTATATTTTATTTATATAATTTTATTTTCTAAATTTAATTTAATTTAATTTTATTTTTTTATATTTTTTAAGACAGAGGGAGAGCACAAGTAGGTAGAGGGGCAGAGGAAGAGGCGACTCCTGACCGAGCAGGGAGCCCGATGCAGAATCGAACCTAGGACCCCGGGATCACGACCTGAGCCGAAGGCAGACGCTCAACCACTGAGCCACCCAGGCTCCCCTAGCTCTTGCTTTCTGTGTTTTCTTGTTTGCATGTAGAAGAGCTTTTTGTTTAATTAAAATGTTCTGGACAGGGGCACCTGGGTGGCTCAGCAGTTGAGAGTTTGCCTTTGGCTCAGGTCATGATCCCAGGTCCTGGGATCGAGTCCCACATCAGGCGCCCTGCTGGGAGCCTGCTTCTCTCTCTGCCTATGTCTCTGCCTCTCTCTCTCTGTGTCTCTCATGAATAAATAAATAAACTCTTTAGAAAATAATAAAATGTTCGAGACAAGGAAACCATCCAGGAGAGCACAGAATATAAAAGAGAGAAAAAAAAGAATATAAAAGAGACACATGTAGGTTGCTCTGGTGCTTGATGGGAGTGGGCTGCTACTGGACATTTAGAGTAGTGATGGCTGTTTGGGAGGGACTCAAATGTTACATGGAGCCTCCCTTCTCCACCAGCCTAGCCACCGTGCAACAGAGCATGCACTTGGTTCCGTGCTGGGCACAGAGACTCAGCAGGGAACAGACCAGCCCTGCCCTTGGCGGGGAAGAAACACAAAATAACTCATTACAGAAGCAAATATATAGAAGTATGTACCAGTATCACAGGAGGAGTTACAGGGAGCAAGGAGAGGGTGTAAAGGGGAACCAGGTTCAGTCTGAAGGGGATCGGGAGCCAGTCCTCTGAAGAAATAGCATCTGATCCATCACTGACAGCAGCCTTCCAGGATCCAGGGACAGCTTAAAGAGGAAAGGCCACTGACCCTCAGGCTCTTGGAAGATTGTATTTATGTCCTAGTGTCTTCCCCTTCATGGGACCTAGGCACAGGCTGCTTTTGCCTGGCTTGAAAATGGACATTTTCAACACAGATTGCATTTCCAAGTTCCCTCTGTCAGCATGTGACACCCAGGAGCTTTATCTGAGGGATCAGCCTGCCCGATGATCGTGCCTTGCCCTGAAGATGTGTGTAAGGACACTGCCTGGCTTTTCTCCGAGTGTGGTCACATCTGTGACTGTCACTAGACCCCTGGCTCTTTGGTCCTTTCCCCTAGCTGACATTGGTAGGTGAGATAAGTCTCTGGGATGGGGACAGTCCTCCCTATTAGCTGGGGAGAGGTGGGATGTCACAAGATGAAGTGTGGCCCCATAAGGACACGTGGTAATAGAGGCCATGCTAATGCTGGAGCCACTTACATGGGCGTCCAGAACACCTCCCACAAGGTCTGCCCAAGGCTGCGCTCCCCAGTTTATGGCTGACTTCCCCGATTTGAAACATTTCCTTTGACTTGCGAGGGGAGAAGGAGCACCAGAATTAGGAGACCTGGGTTCTAGCCCCAGCTCACTGTGTGACCTTAGGTAAGTCACCTTCCCTCTCTGTACATTCATTTCCCATCACATAAAGGGATTAGGATTTGATGCTCTCTAAAGGCCAGTCCAGCTATGGCCCTCGGCAGTGAAGGAGCCCTGTGTGTTCCATAGTAGGCATGGGAGCAGGGCTCCCACCTTGAAGTCTTCCCTGGTTTCTTCTCAGCTGGGGTGCTCTTTCTTTTGCCTCGCAGTGCTTTGTTTCTCTGTGGAGGGATACTCTTTACTTCGTTTGCTGCATTTATTTCTTTAGTGTCTTCTCTCCTAGGTTTAGAGACTGTAAGAGCTAAAAGGTCCTTTAGATATTCTCAGTGGTTTACCAATTCTGTGCATCACAGAAGATCCCTGTGCAAATCTTAGGGAAACTATGACTCCTCTCCTTAAAAAATTGCACAGATTTTGCATCCCATTGTGGGGCTCACAGACCTCCTGACGCCCATCTGTGACTCATGTTAAGAACCCCCTACCCATGGCAGATAGGTGAGCATTGACCAGGGGGTACTGTGACCGTGGCTGAGGTCTCAGCTCATTGGCAAAGGAGCTGGTGTCAGAGCCCAGAGTCTTTCAGTGAACCGAACTGCCTTTTCCATGAGGACAGGACATTGTGGGCATATGGCTCTAATGCCAGGTGCCTTGTGCGGTGTCTTCACGTGAGCATTGGGAACTGCTGAGGGAGAGGCAGAGAGGAAGCATGGCTGACTGGGGTGGAGGGGAGGGGGGAAACAGTGCAGGGAGCTCAGGCCTGCTGGAGGGGCTCCCTGCCTAACCAGCCCCTGCATCCCCTGCAGACCGACAAGGAGCAGCTGACAGCAGAGGCCAAGGAGCTGCGCCAGAAGGTCAAGTACCTGCAGGATCAGCTGAGCCCACTCACCCGGCAGCGGGAGTACCAGGAAAAGGAGATCCAGAGGCTCAACAAGGTGGGCGCCTTGGCCCCGGTCGCTGGAACAGGCAGGACTTCACTAGCCTAGCTGCAACACCCTTCTGTCACCAGTGTCCCGACCCTCAACTCAGGAGAGGGGGCATTTACTGGATCAGGGAGCAGGTGCTGAGAGCCTCCATGCAGGCTCGCGGTTCCCCCTGCCTCTGCCTTTCCCTCCCAAGTGTTCAAGTGCCTGTGGCCAGCCCTGAGGTACATTTGTGCTTGTTCCAGCCTTTGGCCACAGGCTGCGCTGTCTCCTCACAGGGTGCCACCCCCCTCATCATTCAGGTTCAGTGTAATACCTCTTCCTGAGCAAGGCAGGCCTCCCTGGAGTCTCATTGAGGTACCCCTGTTCCATGCTCCTAAGGCACCAGAACCTTCTTTCCTTCCCCTTCTTGTGTCTTCCTGTGATTGCCTGTTTGATGATCTGTCTTCCCCTCTGGCAGGTGCAGGGGGGGAGGGAGTGCTCCTCTTTACCAGTGTTATGTGCCCCCTGCACCCCACACAGTGCCTGGCACAAAGCACATGCTCGGCAAACACTTGCTGGAGGGAGTGGGTAAACAGAGGCCTGAGGGTTCCTGCCCTTGAGAATTGGGACCCAGGGAGATAGGGGTGTCCAGTGGAGGCTGGATTTTAAGGCAGAAACCTGCCACTTGGACCCAAGGCCAATGGGTAGGAGTGAGGCCGGCTCTGGGGGCTGGTTCTGGTCCTAGCTTAGCCACTTCAGCCTCTCTGAGCCTCAGGTTTGCCATCTGAACCCTGGTTGAACTCCTTCCAGCCCTGCCCACGCTCCAGCACGGGGTTAAGAGAGAGAACAGACAAGAAGAGGCTCTGAAAGGAGCCAAAAGCCTGGAGAAGTTTTCTGTGGTTCATCTTTGCCTCTTTTCCCATCTGTCTGCCTCCCCTCCGCCCCCCAACCTCCTGACCTTGCTCATGGCAGGCTGTGGCATGAGTTTGGCATATTCCCTGGGCCCCACCAGCCCTTCTAGGGTAACCGTTTCTCTTTGGTTTTGGGGTTTGATAATCATTGATTTTGCCAATTCTGGGGATCCTTGGGACCTGTTCTCAGAGAAAAGACCTGTGCTGAGCTGGGGGACTGAAGGGCCCTAAATCCAGGCACAGAATTGTACACGATGCTGGGTCTTAGAGAAGTGACTCAGGCAGGATCACTGCCCTCCCGCTTTCCCTGGCATAGCCGGGGACAGAGACACACGTGTGGGCGCCTCATAACAAGGCAAGTGATCTGCTTTGCTTATGACCTCAGGCAAGTCTCCCTGTTCCTGGACTTCAGTCTTCTTATCTAAGAAATCGGCAGATAGAATAGGAGGATAGAGCAGGGCCACAGCTTCCCCTTGCAGCATCCTGGGGTTACTCTTGGCTCAGCAGAGTTTCTTGGGTTTCTGGGAAAGTCAAGGAGACTAAGTAGGGGCCCAAGTCTAAGTTGGGGGAGGTTTTCTCTATCCCCCCACCATCCAGGGAGGCACTAGGGCCGCTGCTTGCCTAATACATGGCAAGCAGAAGCCCTGCCATCCCGGGGGCTAAAGTCCAGGTGGTGATGAGGGTGGCCAGTCTTGAGCGGGGTTCCAGAGTTCTCAAGTAACATGTTAACTGAGCTGGAGGGGAAAACCGGTTAATAGAGACCTTCTGAGAAGCTGCGAGCCCATGGCTTACCTAAAGGAAAGTATTTTGTGAACATGGTAGGGTAGAGGTGCTTTTCTTTTCTTTTTCAAAATGTTATTTGGTGATGTTTCAGCCCATTTTCAGGCTTAGAAAGGCAAAATATTATATAAGTCAAAATTAAATTCCAGTGTAATCTAACTACCGGAGGAGAGTTGGGGATGGAAAGGTTGGCTTGGTAGCCATGGATTTGGAAAAGCCAAAGAATCTGAGGGCAAGGTGGTTGTCGAGGCCATGGAAGCTTCCCCAAAGGGCTTTAATACTCTCTCTAGGTCTAGGTGCTAGAAATTGAGCTGCACTTGCTCAGGGAAGGGGAGATTGTCCCTTCTATGTGAAGACCCCCAGTTAGCCTGCTTTTAAGCCATGTCACTTTGGACAAATCATGGTTTTCTGAACCTCACTTTTCAAATCTGTCAGATGAGGGTGATGATCATAGTCTTTTCTTCATAGGACAGTGGAGAGGATCCAATGCGGTGATGCGCGTATAGTGTAAATAAATAGGGTAGCATTTCCTTAATAGTACTGGTGGTGTCAGTTATTATTGTCACTAATGTCAGGGGTATGGTCACTGAAGATGACCTCTCTAACGGGGCCGACCTTCTAGGGGTTCTCCTGATGGGCCTGTCTCCTTTCTTCCCGATCTCAGGCCCTGGAGGAAGCACTGAGCATCCAGGCCTCCCCCTCCTCTCCATCAGCATTTGGGGGTCCAGAAGGAGCTAGTGGCCTCCTAAGGAAACAGGAGCTGGTCACACAGAACGAATTGCTGAAACAGCAGGTGAGCCCGAGAGGAGGAGGTCAGGTAGGAGGTACTGAGTGGGGAGCTGGAGCATTCCTGAGGGCCCAGGACGGGCTTGGAATCACATGGAAGATCTAATTAGGAAACCACATTCTGGCTGTCAGCCAGGTCCCATGCCCGGTTATAGGTTTATCCTTCCCAGCACTGCATCCCTAAGTCATTCCTCCGCCACCTTTTTGGTTTAACCATCTCTGTACCCCAGCTGCGCTATTAGTTACCTAGTATTTTCAAAATAAATTTTAAATAAATTACTTTCAACAGATGTATTTAAAAAGGAACTTTATATCACTACTCGAAATGGAAAACACTGTTAATTATTTGCCACAAAATAGAAAATAACTGTAAGCAATAAATACAGTGAAAGAAAAACAGGATGATTAAACTCTAGTTGGAAACTCTTGCCTGTTGAAGACGCTAACCTTGAGTCCTCTTTGAGGGAAGGGAAGGGAAATTAGTAAGTACTGGAAGGATGTTAAAGACATGCTAGCACAAATGGGGACTTTGTCCTCGAGGGGCACAGAAGGGTTGGAAGGGAATTGGAAAGGCGAGGGCTCTCCCGTGTGTTCCTATTGGATGTGAGGCTTTGGAGCCCCCTAAAGCATCTCTAACCTGGCCGGTGTCTCACTGGTCTGCAGCAGGATGTGAACTGCAGGCACAGAGGCAGGGAGCCATCCCAGCACCTTCCATGCCAGGGTGCCCCCGAAGCCTTGGGAGAGTTCTGTAGGTCCTCCGCCCTGGGAGCTGGGCGACCACCTCCAGTCCTGCACCCATGCTCTGGCCCTGGCCTCACCTCTCATGGGCGCCTTAGCAGAATGAAAGGATTGTACTGGTTAGCGGCTTGTGATGCCCCCACGCTTTGTTTTTAAGTCATGGATACCTTGTTTAAATAAAGCCATATGTTGAAGCTCAGAATATAAAATACTGAACTACTCTGTTTGAAGATGGGGGTGGGGAGTCAGAGGTGCACCTGTTCCCCTCCCCCACCCCCTCTTCACAGTGATGTGAAGATGGGGTGAAACCAGCAGGAGGCCAGAGCAGTCTGAGCCCCTCTTCCCTCACCCCCACCCCTGTTCCCCTCCAGGTGAAGATCTTTGAGGAGGACTTCCAGAGGGAGCGCAGTGATCGAGAACGCATGAATGAGGAGAAGGAGGAGCTGAAGAAGCAGGTGGAGAAGCTGCAGGCCCAGGTCACCCTGTCCAATGCCCAGGTGAGAACAGCTGGACCAAGGAAGGGGAACCCCCTTGGCCTGTCCTCATGGGGCAGGGGGTGTGGATTGGAGGATCCCTGATGCGACCAGAAGTGAGGACGCTCACTGGTTCTTCCAGTCCTGCCAGCAAACTTCTGAGTCCCTATCCTTCTCGGACCTCCAGTCAGAGCCACCACCCTCAACAGAATGGAACTAAAGCATGTTAACAGGGACGCACAGCAACAGGCCTCGTGTGAACCCTCCTGACTTGGGTTCAGACCACCCATGGTGAGCAGGCCTCACCTGCAGCAGCCAGCTTGGGCTGTGCTCTGCCCCACGGGGCCTTCCCGCCCCCTCAAGACCCTTCCTTGGGGCTGCGCCAGGCAGGCAGCCGAGAGTGGTAGCCCTGTGCACTTGCTTTTGCCTTGGGTCCAGGCCTGGCCAGGGAGCACCTATGCCAACAGTCTTCTCCCCCTCCCTCCTCCTCTCAGCTAAAAGCATTCAAAGATGAGGAGAAGACAAAAGAAGCCCTCAAACAGCAGAAGAGGAAAGCCAAGGTGAGGAGGCTTGATGGAGGAAGCAGCACTTACCTCAATTCTACCTTATTCAGGGCTGGAGGGGAGAGTCAGTGTCTGCTCAGGTATCCAACTAATTAATGAAGGAACGCAGGTAGAGCATTTCAAATAGTACTTGGTGTAGAGCAAGCGCTCATGACACATTAGCTGTCATTGTTGATATTTTGTGCCCTCGTCCCAGCCGTCTGTGCCCCTGTCCCAGCCATCTGTGCCCCTGTTCCAACTATCTGTGTCCCTGTCCCAGCCATCTGTGTCCCTGTACCAGCCATCTGTGTCCCATGTACCAGCCATCTGTGCCCCTGTACCAGCCACCTGTGTCCCTGTCCCAGCCATCTGTGTCCCTGTACCAGCCATCTGTGTCCCATGTACCAGCCATCTGTGCCCCTGTACCAGCCACCTGTGTCCCTGCACCAGCCATCTGTGTCTCATGTATCAGCCATCTGTATCCATGTACCAGCCATCTGTGCCCCTGTACCAGCCATCTGTGCCCTTCTACCAGCCATCTGTATCCATGTACCAGCCATCTGTGTCCCTGTACGAGCCATCTGTGTCCCATGTACCAGCCATTGGTGCCCACGTACCAGCCTTCAGAGAACTAAGATTCCAAATCGAGAAAGAGATAAGACAGGTGTCATGTCACTGGGGGTGGCCTGTGCAGCCTGTCACAGGCTAGAGCCAGACATCAGCATCTCTTACAGGCCTCGGCGGAGCGCTACCACGTGGAACCCCACCCAGAGCACCTCTGCGGGGCCTACCCCTATGCCTATGCGCCCATGCCACCTATGGTGCCACACCACGGCTTTGAGGACTGGTCCCAGATCCGCTACCCCCCACCCCCCGTGGCCATGGAGCACCCACCCCCACTCCCAAACTCACGCCTCTTCCATCTGGTGAGTCTGTGCCCCTCCTTCGCTCCAGGACACACAGAGACCAGCCCACACACCTTCTAGAGGGCAAGGTCAAGTGAGGGGGTCTGAGACTGCATCCTTGGCTCTTTGCAGAACAGCACTGAGGTGTGCAGGGACCTGTCCAGAACCCAGCAGGACTCTCCAGCCCAAAACTGCTCAGGGTCCTGGGGCAGGACAGAAAAGGCTCAGAGGGCAGAGCAGAAAGGTGGGCTCCCTTTGGGTGCCCACTAAGCAGGCCAGTGGGTCAGAGTTTGCTTTGACTTTTTCTTAGAACATGCACGTGTAACCAGGTATCGGGCCCTCACCATGCGTTCTCTCCTAAGCTGTCCTTCTGTCTTCCCCTTCCCTTCTCTCCTCCTGTCCCTTTTTCCTCTTATTTGCTTATTATTCTTTCTCCAAAGAGCTGCCATCACCTGTCCCATCCTCTCCACCTTCTGCCAGGGTCCTGTTTCCGCATCCCCACTCCCACCTGGACAGGGACATGCCTCCTGCCTGGCCTCTCTTCTAGCTTCTCCTACTAGTCCTTACACACATCTTCTTGGGGATTTACATTGGAGTAGAGTGTGCGGCTTCAGACATTGGCTCTGGGGTTACAGAGACCTAGAACCGAAGCTTGGCCACTTCCTTAGCTAAAGGACCTTCAGCCTCAGTTTCCTTACCTGTAAAACAGGGATGGCAACCTGGGTTGTAGTAAGGATTCATTTGTACTGGATTAACACACATTCAGTGCTGTGCTGGCGTGGCAGCTGCTACTCTAATTTTTTAGTATAGTTGGTTTTTGACTACTAAGCACCAGTTTTGTTGCAGCCAGAATACACCTGGCGGCCGCCCTGTGGAGGGATGCGCAATCAGAGCTCCCAAGTGATGGACTCGCCCACAGCCAGGCCTGTGGAACCAGGTGAGTGTGGTCTAGTCCTGGTCTAGACCTATCTAGTCCTATCTCACTGGGGGAGATAACTTTTTTCCTACTGGAAATGCCCCAGTTTGGGGATGATGTGACTACCTTCTGGTCTTGGTGGAAGAGAGGCATCATGTTCCAAAATAGTGTTGAGAGGATGAGGAGGTGACTGCAGAGTGAGGGGATTGAAGTCATTCGTGTATTAATCTGAGTGTGGTGTTTCAATGCCAGGCTCTGTGCTGGGTGCTAGGGAAGCCACATGGTAGAAACAGGTAACGGTTCCTGCCCTTACAAAGTAGGGGACAAAGAAATGACAAAAAAACACACCAAAAAAACCTGACACAAATGGGCTTCAGTTGCACTCAGGTGCCCTGAAGGAAGGAGAGCAGCTAACAACGGAGCCCAACCTGGACTGGAGGCGATGATGTTGGAGTTGAGACCCTCAGAGTGTGGCATTAGCCGGGTAAAGAGGTGACAGTGGAGGATGTTCTTGTAGAGAAATGAAAAATACAAAGGCCCTGGTGGGAGGGAGGGAAGACAGAAGGCCAGAGAAGACTGGAGGAGCCAAGGACAAGGTGGGGAAGGAGAAACGGGCGAGGCAAGATCAGGGAGGTAGGTGAGTGCAGGCTGTCAGGGACTTGTGGACGGATGGCAGGGGACTGGCCTTTTCCTAAAGATGTGGAATCCTTGCACATATTGACAGCAGAGTGGCATGACAGATCAGATGTGCATTTGGAAAAGCCCCATCAGGTCACGCATGGTGTTGACCATCAACAGCTGGGGACCAGAGGTCTAGACGTTCACTGGTCATAGGAGGTCCCTAATGATGACCCTGCTTTCTGCAAGGCTCTGTGGGGCGGAAGGCACTGCCTTGCTGGTGTGTGGGGGCATCAGGGAAGCTGAGTCCCCTCAGCACAAAGAGGGTTCTCTAAGGGTTGTGGCTTTGCAGAGATAGAGCCAGCTCTGCCAGGAGGTTAGAGGGCCCTCACAGGGTGAGGGGTGTGCGAGCAGAGGCTGCAGGGTAACGTGGAGGCAGCGTGGTTGGGAGGAGGCCTTGCGCTTATTGGCCATTTTCTCCTGGCTCCTGGCAGAGCCCTGGAGGTTGTATGGGGCCCTTCAGATGCTGCTGTAATGAGGGGTGAGTGGGCAGGGCTGTCCCCTCCCCCAGAACTGCTCCCCCTCTGGGACCTGGAGCCAGACGGGCTCAGCTCAAATACCTCTTAGATCTGGCACTTGAGGCTAATTCTTAAAAATCTCTCTGTGCTCTTACTCCCTCTCCCATAAAGGGATACTAATATGCCTGCCTTATAGGGCCAAGCAAGGATTGAATGACAAACGTCCCTAAGGTCCTAGCCTAGGGCCTGGTGCTTGGCAGCACTTAACTCTCTGATTTCCGTTGTTACTTGCTGGTTTCCGTAGGCCTTTGAAGTCTACTGTACTCCATCATCTTTAAAGTCCTCAATATTTTTCTTTCTTTAGAGTCTACGAAAAATGACCGTGAGGGGCCTCAGTGAGACCAGATTACGTCACTTGGCTCCACCTTAGTCATGTAGAGCCACCTGATCCCAGATTATGGAAATCCAGAGGCTGTGTTCTCTGTGTAGCCAGAGCCTCGGCTGGATGGGAAGCCAACGGGCCACTGGGCTGTGCCCCAGCCCAATCTGAACTGTTTACACACTGGAGAGGCTCCACCCAGAAGGCTTCCATTTGGGCCCCTCCTTTGGTGTGACCAGGAGAAACTCACTACCTTGCGACCAAGTGGAGAGAAGCCTGCCTCACCCGACCTTGACCTGCCATGTTTGTGGAATCACAAGGACATCAGTCTCAAGAGTAGGGTAGCAGATGAGACCCCTTCCTTTCAAAACTTCCCTGGAAATGGTTCCAGCCCCTCTGAGGAACACGTTCAACTCATGTGTGTGTTTAATTTTTGCTTCAAGCTCTGTAGTAGCAGGACCTGCCCCATGGCCAACCCTTCCCCTCTGAGGAGCTGTGGGAAGAGCGGGTTTGCTCCCAGAAGCAGAGGAGAACAACAGGGTGTTCTGTTGCAAGGCCCTCTGCTTCCACCCACGGCAGCCTTGCCAGCGCTATGGCAGCCTGGGATGGAGGCCATGCTGGCCGCGTGGTCTGAGGGACCCACCGTGAAGCCACCAGACCCTCGGCCCCGCAGCTGGAGGCCTGTGTGCCAGAGGCCCAGAATAAGGTGGCTGGCTATGCCTGGGCGGCTGTTTGCACGAACCTTGGACATAAATCCAAGTTGAAGATCAGTATTCTGTGACTTGTGTTCTTTTATGCCCTGGCTAATGGCGCCTTCCCAGTGAGTGTGCTGCTTTCCTTGTCCCTCTGTGCCCTGTCCCCACTAGTCCACCGAGAGCATCGCCAGGACTCGTGGCTGATATCCCCTGGGCCCTGCTCCAAGCCTTCCCGTGGTTGGGGCACTCAGGGGCAGTGGAAGGGGTCTGGGCTGAGAGTCAGGTGACCCAGGTTTAAATTCCAGTCCTGCCCCCCACACATCAGGAGAGACCGGGCAAGGCTGCCCCTTCTGTGAGCCTATTTCTGCACCTGTCAAATGAAATACTTCATCTCAGCCCCAGCTGCCTGGAGAATTGCAGGAGGGAATGGGAGTGGACCTGAACTGGCTTTATAAATTCCAGATGCTAATTAGAGAAGCAGAGTGGGCCTAGGTAGAAACCGAACAGCAGGGGCCCAAAGCATGCACTCCCACCCCCTCCCTTCCCCACCCCAGCTACAGTGGCCCCATGGAGGAAGCAGTAGGCTCGGGTGCTGCACAAAGGCCTTTACTGGGCAGATGGGGATTGGGGGTGGGGGGGAGTCTAATGCCAGGGACCAGGGTGAGGGGAGAGGGCACATCCTCCAGAGAAGCAGGGGTAGCATCCCTGTCCAGGGGCCTCAGCCTGAATGCACTAAGGGCCGGCCCTTCAGACAGGCTCAGGGGAGGTCCGCCCACGAGGGCTTTGGGCCCCTCCTTCATGGAGATGCCATTCCTGACACGGGGAACATGGCCTTTGCTCTCACGTCTTCCTTGGCTGCTTTCTGGGAGCACTAAGGGGTGTGTAGGGGGCTTGGGAGGGCCCTTCAGGAAGGAGAGCAGTTGCACAGTGGAGAGAAAGATTGGGCAGTGTGGTAGACCCAGAAACTTCTGGGCACTTCAGTGGTGGTATTTGGAGATAATGGGAGGTGCTGGCCTCAAGGTTGAGGTCTAGGTCAGAGCAGAACTGTTGGATCTAGAGCTGGTTTTGGGCTCAGCTAAAAGTGAATGGTTATCATTGGAACAGAGAACTGGAGAGAAAGGGGAGGTATTCCGTAGTACTCTCCATAGTACAACAGCTGTGCACACACCTGTGGCACACGTCTCCTGTATTCATGCAGGTAGACACAGGTGGCTGTACACTCATGCACACACGGTCACACACACCTAGGCATGTGTGCAAACACGCACATGCACAGCAATACAGACAATCATATGCGCATGTTTGTGTTGAGTTGGGGCCTTGTGTAATAGCAGGAGGTCTATGGTGGGAGTGTGGTGCGGTTAGAGAAATGGATTCCTTCCTGAATGGAGTCCCTCCCCAGCCCTGGTGTGGTGGACATGGGGTAGGGCAGGCCTGATTTACTTCCCCTTGATGGCCAGGGCCGCCTGCCGCCTCATGTAGGCCAGGATGTCCATCTTGACGGTGCTGACCGTGGTCCGGTGGTACCAGCGCATGATGGGTATACCATCTGGCCCCACCAGGAACTTCTCAAAGTTCCAGCGGATGTCATGGACCTTCATGGGTTCCCAGAAGAGGCGGCCAGGTGAGCCCAAGAGCTCCGAGGTGGGAGGACAGGAGTTCTGCAGCAGGGATGAGAGGAGTGTCAATGTTGCTTGGGGCCCTTCCCACCTTCCCTCTCCAGGCCTTCCTGGGGGATAGGAGGACAGCCTGGCACTAAGAAAAGGACACCCATTTTGGAGTTGAAAGTGGAATCCCAGGATCACCTTTGGTTCTAGCAGGTTGTAAGACCTTTACTTGTCCCTTCTGGGCCTTGCATGGGCCTTATCAATAAAATGGACTACTGAGATCTTAGGGTCTGCAAAGCCTTATGGTTGGAATGATAGATGCCAAGAAATCCTCCCAGGGGCCTGGAAGTAGGGGAGGGTGGCACAGGCCTTGCCTCTGTGTGGGCTGGAGCCAGGAGTGGCCGCAGCTCTGTCCAGGGCAGGTGTCCAGCGGGCCGAGTGGCTCCTGCAAAGGTGGCTATACCACTCACCTTCAGGAATGTATAGAACTTCTGCTCTTTCTCTCCATTCACATCCCCCTTCTCAAAGAGTTGGAAATTGGGGACAAAGCCCCCACCTGGTCGGACATACCTACAAGGAAAGTTCTTATGTGGGTCCCAAGGAGATGGGCATAGGGCTCAGAAATGACCAGAATGGACTGAACAGGGAGGGGGTGTCGGAAATCTGGATTTTATGCCACACCCGGCAGTGGGAGCTGATAAGTATCGAATGGGCATAGGTACAGTGTGGGCATAGGCATAGCAAGCTTCTTTTCCCTGTTTGGTACCTTCTCAGTAACTCTGTCCCTGCCTACACCCCCCCGCCCCACCATCGCACCGCACCACACACTCACACACAGTCATCCCTGTCACCCCTGTCTCCAACCCCTCTTCTGTTCATGCTAGCAACTGGGGTTCCTGGAAGGGGAGCATAATTCTTGGTGGCTAAGTATCCGTCATGTATAGGGGCCAATGCAAGAGATGCCTGGCACCCAGGCTGGGGCACCGGGGGGCTGAGCTTTCTCAAGACACCAAGCAAGCAAGCACTCACTTGAGGCTGGGTAGGATTTCCGAGTTCTCTCCTGGCTCCTGTTTTCCGAATTGGTTGCAGGGGAAGCCCAGAATGACCAGACCAAATGGCGCAAGCTCTTCCTGTAGTGCATTCAGTTCTGGGCCAGGGAGAAAGCAGAGAGGAAGGTAGCCTATCAAGGAGCCCTGCCCATCCGTACCACTCCCCCTGCTTACCCATCGTATAGCTGAAGTCACCGAGACCTGACAGGGGAGGGGCCTTGCCCAAGTTGCCCAGTGAGTGTGGCAGTGTGGGTATACAAGTCCCATTCCCCTGGCTCCGGTCTGGCTGGGTTGGAGGTTTGGGGAGGAAAGAGAACAATACCCTTTCTCAAATCAGTAGTCAGCTGCCCACCACCGCTGGGCCAGCAGGCTGAGGGCTCCTTCAGGACTCTCAAGATTGAGGGTCTTAGAGCAAGAGCGAAACATCCCTGGGCAGAAGGCAGAGGACTTCCTGAGGGGTGGGTGGGCTCCTCACCCACCCTATACTCTGGCAGTTTGGGAATCGATGGGAGGGCCTCCCCGGTTCCCTGGGTGCTAGCACCTAGCCCATCTCTTGCAGGAACACACTCTGCTCTGTTCCAAGGCTAGACAGCAGCATTCTAGACCAGAGCACCCAGTGCCCTCTCGGCCATCCAGCCCACTGTCCTTCCACTTTCAGGAATTTGCCTGAAACTGCCAGGCAGACATGCAGGGTCAGATTGCCCTTGCTTTCCACCCCACCCCACCACTCCCCCACCATCACCAGCCGACTGTGCTCAGCCTCACAGCATCTTCCTGTTCCCTCAGGCTGTTTGCTCTGCCCTGGCTCAGCAGGGAGGAGTGAGGATGCCAGGATCATGAAACCTGGGTGAAACACCTGGGATTGCCACTGACACACGTCCTCGGGACCTCCGCCTACCTGCCTGGTTCCCAGATAGGGGCCAAGAGAAGCATTAGGGCACATGGGGCTGCGGGAAGGTGGGAGATTCTCAGCCGGATAACGCTACCATTTCTTACTCCAGTGAAAGGATGCTCCAGGCACCCCCAATCTCCTCCATCCCTCTGCTTTCAGGGCAGTTGGGGGGCCCAGGGATGAAGGGTAACCGAGAATCTTGCAGAACATGTCCGAAGGTGATCAGACCTCAGGATTATATAATCATCTTCACCAAAATATGGAAGACAGTAGAATTGGGATACAGGGTTTGTTTTCTCATGATCACGATCACCCCTTCCCACTTGCACCAAAAAAGCTTCGGTGATTAAAATGTGCCCAACTGGCAGAAACAGCCCCAAAGCAGGGAAGCAAGGGTGGGCTCTTACCAACGTATTGGCCTGTCAGGCCTCAGTAGCTGGCCACGTTGACAAAGAGGATGTATTTGCCAGCGTACTGCTTAAAGGGGATGTACTCCTCCCCGTTGATGGTTAGGGCTCCGTACTCATAGATGGTGCCGCTCACACCCCCGTGGCAGTCCGTCTGGAACAGAGGAAGACCAGCAGGAGGGAGCTGTTAGAGCTGGAAGGGAAACTGGGCATCTCTATTTTCAAGATAATGTGAGATACCAACAGGGGGAGTGACTTGCCCAAGACCATTCTACGAACCGGAAATGGACCAGAACAAAGATCTACTTCCTTGTGCAAGGTAATGATTATGAAAGCACTTAATTGGCCAGTGACTGTATGGAAACCTGAAATACTGCTTTCTGTGACCATTACTTCCGCCTCCCATGCCCACTTGTAAACATTTGCCAGGCCTGGGGGAGACCGTGCTGGTGCCGGTGGTTGCATTATTGGACGCGTGGATGGAGGCTCCCAGGGTGGCCGTTGCCACCACCAGCCAGGCAGGTGATGCTGTGGGTGAACAACAGCATCGTGGAGGAGGAACTGAACAGAAAGGAGGAAGCGGTGGTGTGGAGAGGGGTGATTCAGATCTGGAGGACTGGAAAGCTGAGGCTGTCGCTATAAAATAGGGAAGAAGGAGCCACGAGGAAGGGGAAGGCCTGCCAGGAGGAGTCGGTGTGACGGCCAGGGCAGAGCAACAGGGCCTCGCCCATGTGAGACGGTCCCTGTAAGTGTGCACCTGGGACGACCGGTAGGCCTTCCTCTTTGCCCAGCTGCTACCCTCCCCCCATCAACCTCCAGAGCAAGTAGCCAACAATGGACTCTGAGGTGGGGGACCCAGATGCCACGTCCAGCTCTGCCACTAACTCCCTGTCTGGTCTGGGGCTAAGCCCTTTCTCTTCTCTGGGCCTCAACTTCCTCTTTGATGAGAACCTTGAACCGGACCAGCTGTGCTCAGCCATGATGGCTGGTCAGCCTCACTACTGGTCGGTAGGAGGACTGGGATCACGGCCATCCAGCAGGACATTGCAGCAGACTCTACTCTGCGCCTATCCCAGCTCTGGTACAGGCTACGAAAACCCGGGTGGACTCTTGAAAGGGT